TTACTATATTTTGTATCATTATATATATATAATAGGTATTTTAGATTATATATATTATATATATTATTTATTTTTAATTTAATATTTGTTAAATATAGTATGTATATATATTATATTTTTAATATATATTCATATATATTATACTTATAATTTATGATAGTATGTTAATTATATGTAATAGATATGTATATATGTATATATATGTATGTATTATTACATTATATATGTATATATTATATATATATATATGTTATAGTCGGTTCTAATGTATATATGTAGTGTATATATTTTATTGTATGTATGTATGTATATTGTCAGTTAGTCGTTACAATACCTCATATAACAATAAATATGCAACGCACCACAAACACTAGCCCTTTTGGGTGGTGTGTTTGTCAGATGATCACACATAAGTTGTTGTGATCATATTATATTTGCTAAAATGGCGTACTTTTTGTACCCTTTTATGTTTTGCGTGTCCTTATGTGTTATTTGGTGTATTTCATCATTGTTGGAACAGTTTTGTAATATTGATAGGCTTTTCTCACTTCATTCTCCCTCTTCATCACACCCTGTCGTTTGTTGTTTGCCCACTATTTTGTACTCATCTTAAGTATCGTTACCCTCCACGCAACATTGAAGAGGTTTTTATTGATGTATACGTTCTTATTACCAAGAGATTAAAAAGAAAATGCTCCACCTTTTTCTAATTCGCAAGACAAGTTGCATAAATTCTTACTAAGCTTGATCTCCGAAGAGTTTGACCTTTGTCACTTCCCTCTCCTTTCCGGGATTCCCTTGCCTCGGAAAGTTATTCATTCCCATTCATATCTTTTTCATATAAGGGAGCCTCCCCCTGGCCATTTTTCTCTTCCTTTTCTTCGGGGATCCCCCTGCCCCCGTCCACCCATACCCGAGACCCGCCTCTTGGTCACGTCCCTGTCCCTTCCTTCCTGCTGGCAGAGGACACGTAGCCCTGCCGCTCTCTGCCTGCTGGCCGAGGTCAACGCCACAATAAGGCCAACTGTGCTGACCGCGGGTCGTCACGGCTCGGGTCAGCAGCACCGGGCGCGACGTCTCCCATAGAATACACCATCAAAGAATGTGTCTCTAAAGCAGCCAATATAAATCAATAAAACACGCGGACATTACAAAGGCTCGCCCACGCTGTCATTAGTCACGTGACCACGCTCTCGGCGAGGGCGAGAGGAAGGGCGCCAGGATAAGGGGCTTGTTGGGGGAGTCAGAGTGTTCTTAGTTATTCATTTATTGGTTATAAGGACGCGGGGTGGCTTCCTTGGCTGTTCCGCGTTTGCTCGCCACATTGTATTAGGACGAGGGGTGGAAGAAGGGCTAGGGGCAAGGGCTAGAAGGGAAGTGGGAGTTGGGACGAGGATTAGGACGCAAAATTCGGCAGGGCGCGTCCCGGGGAATGGGGTTGGAGCAGCGACAGTAGCGAGTTGAGGTGGGAAGGAGACGGGGCAGGGGGAGGGGCAGGGAAAGGGGAAGGGGAAGGAGCAGGGGTAGGGGAAGGGGCAGAGGGAAGGGACAGGGAATGGGCATGATAAAAAGGCAGGGGACGAGCAGAGTAGCGAACAAGGGCGGAGAAGTCAGCTGCGTGAGATAAGATATGGCGAGGGCGCCGGATGTTGTGTGAGTGTTTGAACGCAGCGTGTTTACATACCCTGATACAGAGCAGGTGATTGCAGCGTTCTGTGCCGGGTGCTGCTGAGCCGATGACAGATGGGGGATATTGGCCTGGGTTCGCGTACGGCGCCTTCCATCCCTCTTTGTCTGCCTCCGCAACTCTCCTTCGAATTGCGTGCGCTTATAATGCAATCTGTCTCCCCAGTGTTTATCGGTACTTAATGTAATCAAATCTGAGTAACCGATATTGCCTGATTATACCTGAGTAAGCTGAAACATTACCTTTATGTATTCAGAGGAATATGATAAGCCATAGAAAACCGTATTTTTTTTCTACCGTAGGAAACGATCCTATGGAAGCCTACTTTATAATAATACCAAAACAAAAGTATCAACACCTAAGCAAAAATGGTGGTGGACACAGCTAACCGCATTGATATAATCCACACAGCCGTACGAGATACATGCTGAAACAGATAAAGACTCGTTGACATTTCTTCTATATATATTTTTTTTTTTACGCTCGATATCTTCAGCTGTTATCTTCCAGTGATTAAAGGATATTGAACTTCGGCGAATTCACTTACTGGGTATATCTACACTTTCGGAGAAACACGATGTTTTTGCTCTTATTTTTGTTGATTAAGTCTGACCTCCCCGTGTCGCGCGCTTTGTTGCTGGATTCTTGAATGACATGATAAAAATGGTTTTGTGGTCAGGGATGTTAAATGCTTCTGTTCTATCGAATTCAAAAGTCACCTTGCGATTGTGTCTATGATAATATTGTAATCGCTCGGTGCTTGGGTAGGAGCACCAAGTGATACTTCTCTATCAGAGTATTATTATTTGACAGTACTGTGTTTAAAAGCACAGCTCACTTTTATACGAATGGAGTAGGTTACACATCACTCACATTTTTACGTCGAGTTGTAAATGCAGTATAGTATATCTAGTATATATATCAATAGTCTGGCATGGCAACTTGTTTATCTTATCTTTTTTCTATGTGATTGTAAGGCCCCACAGCAACAGCCATATATTTGGATCGATTTGTCTGGTAAGAACCTACATATTATTTATTCATGTAATTACTTATCTACACATCTAATCACATTGTTTCTGGTTCTGTTTATCTATTCCATCTTCGGATTCCTGCCACTGCTCGCCTTGTCCTTGCAGCCTCGCAGGTGCATCAGGAGGAGCCGGAGACCCAGCGGCGAGGCAGCGCTGGGGCTGAAGGCTGCCATCAATATCGTCTGTACAGTCTTATTAACAAAATTGAGGTGCGTCACATTGATGGATGACTACAACCGATACTTACACTCTGATGACGTCGTTTTTCATTTGCTTCTTCGTTTATCATACGTAATACAGGCCCCACGAGGAGCGCAGGGCGGGGAGCGAGGACTCGTCCGGCGCTGCGCTCCGTCGCTCTCGCCGCGCCCATTCGTCATCGTGTCGGCTCGAGAGTCTCGCTAATGCCTCGGGGAGTTATCGAGGGCCAGATGGCACTTCATCGTCATCGCCAGTTGCCACGGAAGTTTGCATAAGCGTGATAATAACGACAGTAACTCAGGATTCAATATTCATAAAGTCATTTTCTCCTTCAAGTTGACCCAGTCATACAGTCGTTCGGAGGAGGAACGGCGACGCGGAAAGAGTGGAGGAACCGATCTTAATGGAAATGAGGGTTATGGTTATGGACGTGCCAAAATTTCGGCCATCATGCCATTAGCAGATTAATAATGATCCTGATTTTGTACTGGGTACTGTGGCGAGGGCTTGGGCGAAGGGGGAGGGGCGGGGGGGGGGGGGGAGGCTGTTCCGAGGGCTGGGGCGAGGGAGGGGGCCAGTGGTGAGGGCTGTGGTGAGGGTCGACAACGGAAGCGAAAAGGTTATCTACATAACAAGATGATATGTCCTGTAAAGATGACATCTGGCCGGTCTTGATGGCTTTGGATGGCTAACGAACAGTTCAAAGATCTTTACACTTATACAGTGAATATATTCGTTGTTAGAATCTCTAATATGGCTTCCTCGACCAGGGTTCGTGATTGCGTAGGCATAATAGGAGCTTAATGTTGTTTCGGAATCTGCTTTCATATGACGTCCCGAGAAAGTAGTCATCGGGATTTCACATATGAATTAATTTACAACGTGAGCGTTGAGTGGAGTGAGCGCGAAGGACGTGTGGTTGACGCAAGGGATGAAGTAAGGGCGTGGGTACGGTAGTGGTAAGGTTGGCATGACGAGAGGTTGCAGGGGGCAGGGACAGAGAGGTTGCGGTGGGGGGAGGGGAGGGGGAGGAGACGCAAGGTGCTCAGCCCCGTGGGTGGGACTGAATGAAGGTCTGGAATAGAGAGCCTGGTGGGCGGGAGAGGACAGGAGGGCGCGGGAGAGGGGCGGCCTCGTGGGTTCGAACAAGGCTGGCTCGAGCAGAGGAAAGCGGCGAGTCCCGGGGAAGGGGCGGCGAGGCAGGTAATCCCTCCCGCTGGACGCAGAGACTCGTTACACTCGGGCCGAGGCCATCGCCTTCACCACGCCACATATTTCGACACTTTTGCGCTCTGGTTTCAGGTATAGAGTAACCTGTATCACGGAAACTATCAAATGACCAGGACACCCACTCGCTCGGAGGCAGGATTGTTCTCTCTCTCTCTCTCTCTCTCTCTGCTGTTCTCATGCGTCCTTCTAGTGATTCTGCATTCTTCTGCATTCCCACAGGGATGCTCTCCTTGTGACGCTGTCCTCGGTCTCCAGTCATTACCCCTGCTTTTTACTGCAGTTCTGACTGTTGCAGATAATTCAATGCACAATTTTGTTCTTTTTTACATGTAGGCAAAGCGTGTTTTTTATTTATCTATCTATAATAAACATACATGGTGTCATGGCCATGCGTTGCATACATTTCAGAAAAATAAAGTGCAAAAAGATTAAACAACCAAAGTGCAGATTTCCCGGGAATTTCTGAGCCGAATATCATCTGCGTGCAGTGCAAGCGAAGGGAACCTCGCGTGTCAGACGGATCCATCACTGTCGCCAAGGGAGGCAGTGATGACAGCACTCAAACAAATTATGCTTGCATTCTCAGTGCAAAGCATGTTAGTGACACTTGCGGGGGAGAAAAAAAGAGAGGCGAATGCAGGGACAAGTATAGTTAATGTCAATCGTCGCACGATAATAATACCTCTTAAATTACTCGCCAGAGATGAATTTCATGGCGAAGAAGCCGAGACATTCCTGGGATGGCAAAACCTGCATTGCTTGAAGTCAACGACCGTAACCCTTGACAGCAAGGTCTTCAGATAACCATCAACTAAAAGCAGTTACATCGCTTTTTGAATTACACGCTTTCACTCCAAGTTTATCCCTCCATCAGTGTCCTCATATGTCTGAACATCATACTCATCATGCAGAGTTAACATGAGGACGTTTGTTCTCGTGGCCGGATGGGTCGTGACTGACACACCTCTCCGGTCACCTTTCGTCTCCCCCGTAACTTGTGCTTCGCCGTAGCCGTCGCGCTGCGCAGTGCACAGTCATCACCCCTTCCTAATCCTGCACACTCATACTTCCTGTCGCAGGTGCTCTCGCTGGATGAGCATTCGCTGCGAGGTGCTCACACTCCGTCGTTGCTGACTCCTGATCTGTAAAATGGCCGCATTATGTCAAAGTCAGCATCAGCAACGAGCAGCAAGGCCTTGCTGGAATGATGGAACGAAATAAAAGAAGGCTGGTTGAGTCTGGGCAGATGCAAGGCCACGAGGACAAGGCTCTGTGCTGTTCAAAGTCGGGCGCCAACTCTGCTCCTCACTCTGCCGTATTACCGACCTGACCAAACTGCCCTCTCCCCTTCCCCTTCCTCCCCTTCTCTGTCCTCTCTCCCCTTCCCTTCCATCGAGTGTACGCACCCCCGATTAAACATAAAATTTGCGCGGATTAATTCCAAAAAGGAAGTAACGAGAGAAAAAAACGCAACATAAAAACTGGGACTAGTCTAATGATGGTGGCGGCCCCTGGGTTCCTCAAGCGAACTGCCGGTGGACACAGCAGGACCCGACCCGGCCCGGAGCGGCGAGCGACCTGCGTGTTTGGCTCATGTTTAGTCTTGGCTTCGTCGATGCCCAGGCCGACCGTCGCGATGGAAACTGCGGAGAAACCCGAAGGGCGTGTGAATTTTGGAGCCTTTCAGGTCGGGTTTGCTGCCGGGGCGCGCTGGGTCTCAGAGAGAGCGCTCGAGGGAAGGAGTTGTGCCATTCAACATAGAACTCATGGTTCAGGTGTGAGTAAACGTAATTCATAATGATAAACCCAGATAAGCCGGTAATAGTAATGATGATGGTAGTGGCAATTATAATGGTAATGATAATGATGACATTGCTGTTTATGATAATGATGATAAAAAAATACCTGCAATACAGTAATAATGATTATTAGAAAGTAAATGCAATGACTATATAGTAATAAGAATGATGAATGATAATAATGGCGATTACAATAATTATGTCGATTCCGATACTGCTGCTGCTGATGATAATTTTAATGGCAATAACATATACAGTACAATTTGCAAGAAATCTTCATAACCACATGGCATATTTACAAGAAAACGAAACCTCTCTTGGTCCCTTCTCCTCTACTCCATAAAACAAAATAGTAAACACGACCGAAACACATCAGCGAGGAACCAGCGTCTCGCCTGAATGGCTTCTGTTCTGCGTTATCACAATAGGCGAATTCCGCGGATGATCCCCAAACACATCGGCTTGCATTACGTCCGCGAGTCGGTCTTTCATTAAGCAGATCGGTCGCTTCCTCCCTCGCTCGCTCAGGGACGCGAGGGAACCGCGCTTTGGCGAGCAGGGATGCTGCCCTCGGAGGCTGATCGGGGGGGGGGGGGGGGCTGAATCTGCTTTTGGGGTCTGACTGAAACAGCTCTTACTTGGGGTCTGACTGAATCTGCTCTTGGGGTCTTGAATCTGCTTGGGGTCTAACTGAATCTGCTCCTACTTGGGGTCTGACTGAATCTGCTCTTGGGGTCTAACTGAATCTGCTCTTGGGGTCTAACTGAATCTGCTTCTACTTGGAGTCTGACTGAATCTGCTCTTACTTGGGGTCTGACTGAATCTGTTCTTATTTTGGGTCTGACTGAATCTGCTCTTACCTGGGGTCTGACTGAATTTGCTCTTGGGGTCTAACTGAATCTGCTCTTACTTGGGGTCTGACTGAAACTGCTCTTACTTGGGGTCTGACTGAAACTGCTCTTATTTGGGGTCTGACTGAAACTGATCTTACTTGGGGTTGACTACTGGGGTCTGAATCTGCTCTTATTTGGGGTCTGACTGAAATTGCTCTTATTTGGGGTCTGACTGAATCTGCTCTTACTTGGGGTCTGACTGAATCTGCTCTTACTTGGGGTCTGACTGAAACTGCTCTTACTTGGGGTCTGACTGAATCTGCTCTTACTTGGGGTCTGACTGAAACTGATCTTACTTGGGGTCTGACTGAAACTGCTCTTATTTGGGGTCTGACTGAATCTGCTCTTATTTGGGGTCTGACTGAAATTGCTCTTATTTGGGGTCTGACTGAATCTGCTCTTACTTGGGGTCTGACTTAATCTGCTCTTACTTGGGGTCTGACTGAATCTGCTTTTACTTGGGGTCTGACTGAATTTGCTCGTACTTGGGGTCTGACTGAAATTGCTCTTACTTAGGGTCTGACTTAATCTGCTCTTACTTGGGGTCTGACTGAATTTGCTCTTACTTGGGGTCTGACTGAAGTTGCTCGTACTTGGGGTCTGACTGAATCTGCTCTTACTTGGGGTCTGACTGATTCTGATCTTGGGGTCTGACCAAATCTGCTCTTACTTTGGGTCTGATTGAAACTGTTCTTACTTGGGGTCTGACTGAAACTGATCTTACTTGAGGTCTGACTGAATCTGCTCTTACTTGGGGTCTGACTGAATCTGGTCTTACTTGAGGTCTGACTGAATCTGCTCTTACTTGGGGTCTGACTGAATCTGCTCTTACTTGGGGTCTGACTGAATCTGCTCTTACTTGGGGTCTGACTGAATCTGCTCTTACTTGGGGTCTGACTGAATCTGCTCTTACTTGGGGTCTGACTGAATCTGCTCTGGGGGTCTGATTGAATCTGCTCCAACTTGGGGTCTGATTGAATCTGCTCTTACTTGGGGTCTGACTGAATCTGCTCTTACTTGGGGTCTGACTGAATTTGCTCTTACTTGGGGTCTGACTGAATTTGCTCTTACTTGGGGTCTGACTGAAGTTGCTCGTACTTGGGGTCTGACTGAATCTGCTCTTACATGAGGTCTGACTGAATCTGCGTTTACTTGGGGTCTGACTGAATCTGCTCTTACTTGGGGTCTGACTGTCTGTGGGGTCTGACTGAATCTGCGGTTACTTGGGGTCTGAGTGAATTTGCTCTTACTTGGGGTCTGACTGAATCTGCTCTTACTTGGGGTCTGACTGAATTTGCTCTTACTTGGGGTCTGACTGAAGTTGCTCGTACTTGGGGTCTGACTGAAATCTGGGTCTGACTGAACTTACGGTCTGACTGAATCTGCTCTTACTTGGGGTCTGACTGAAGTTGCTCGTACTTGGGGACTGACTGAAATTGCTCTTACTTGAGGTCTGACTGAATCTGCTCTTACTTGGGGTCTGACTGAATCTGCTCTTACTTGGGGTCTGACTGAATCTGCTCTACTTGGGGTCTGACTGAATCTGCTCTTACTTGGGGGACTGAATCTGTACCTGACTGAATCTGCTACTTGGGGTCTGACTGAATCTGCTCGTACTTGGGGTCTGACTGAACTTGGGGTCTGACTGAATCTGCGACTTGGGGTCTGACTGAATCTGCTCTTACTTGGGGTCTGACTGAATCTGCTCTTACTTGGGGTCTAACTGAATCTGCTCTTACTTGGGGTCTGACTGAATTTGCTCGTAATTGAGGTCTGACTGAATCTTCGGTTACTTGGGGTCTGACTGAATCTGCGGTTAC